GGGGTTTGTAGGGGGCTGTGGGTGTGTGTATGTGGCTGCATGTGTGTGTGGGGTTGATTATATGTGGATGTGTGTGGGTGGGTATGGGGGGTTTGTAGGGTTGTGTGTGGGTGTGGGGTTTGTGCTGTGGGGTACATGGAGGTGGGGAAGGTAGTTGGGGTTGTGCAGGTGCATGTGTGGTATGTGCATGCTGCAGTGAGCAGGGCTGCCCCCAGCGGCGTGTGGCTGTTACTGTGGTGGGGATGCAGTGTTTGTGGGTTGTGTGATTGTGTGTGAGGGAAGGTGTGGTTGTGGGGTTTGTGGGTGGGGGAGGGTTTGGATGTATGTGAGGTGTGCGTGGGAACCCAGAGATGGAGCCACATGGCAACCTGGCGCAGTGCGCACACTCTGGGCAGCTGCACCAAAAACTGCCAGTGGTGATGGGGAGGGGCTGCTTTTCCCCCTTGCCAAGGAACAGTTTCTGCCTGGTGATGCCACTGCAGCTGCTGCTTAGCCCAGAGGAGCAAGCCTGGAGCCGGTGCTGGGGCCTAGGCCCAGCAGTGGCGGCATGGGAGAGAAACTGCTGCTCAGCATGTGGTAAACGCAAGTGGGCAAAAGAAGAAATTTAAGGACACCTTGAAGGCCAATCAGAAGAAATGTGATATTAACATCAATACCTGGGAGAGACTAGCACTGAATCCTCCCCCATGGTTTCATGAAGTATGACTCACATCACTAAGGAGGCGGAGAGAAAAGAGAGACAAAGGGAAAGAGCTCTGAACTGACATCAGCAGGATCCACTCCTTCCTTCTGGAACTGTATGCTATGTCTGCAGTTGAACGTGCCGATTTCTGACGGGCCTCTTCAGTCATCTCCTGTCACACTGGCTTCCCTATCTACTGGAAAACTATCATCCTCATACAGAGGAAATACCAGTGATGATGAGGTACTACTTGTTGCAGGTTCCTGATAAAAAGATCTATAGATACCAATCCCAGTTAGAAGTGCAGAGCATAAATTGTTGGTAACTCAAGGGCTGGTTGCAGAATGGGAGAACTTTACGAACCCACCTAGAGAAAGCTGAAGGCACGAGGAAGGAGTACAAAGGGGGCATGCTCAAAGAAACCACTAAAGAAGCAAAGGTAGAGTTTGCCCTGAACTATGACCAAAGTTAAATTGGACTTTTTTGTAATAGCCCCTACTGGTGTCAGGATGGCTGAGTGGTCTAAGGTGCCAGACTCAAGGCATAGCTGCCTTCTGTAGTCGGTGGGTGTTTTGGTCTCCGTATGGAGGCATTGTTTGAATCCCACTTCTGACACTAATATTTCTCTATGCGGCACTGGTCAGGCCACAGCTGGAGTACTGTGCCCAGTTCAGGGCGCCCCACTTCAGGAGGGATGTGGACAACATTGAGAGGGTCCAGAGGAGGGCCACCCGCATGATCAGGGGACAACAGGGCAGACCCTACAATGAGAGACTGCAGGACCTGAACCTGTTCAGCCTTCACAAGAGAAGGCTGAGGGGGGACCTGGTGACTGTCTATAAACTCACTAGGGGGCACCAGAAGGGTTTGGGAGAGACCTGGTTTCCCCAGGCGCCCCCTGACATAACAAGGAATTATGGCCACAAGTTGTTGGAGAGTAGGTTTAGATTAGACATCAGGAAGCACTACTTCACTGTCAGGGTGGCTAGGATCTGGAACCAACTTCCAAGGGAAGTGGTGCTGGCTCCTACCCTGGGGGTCTTTAAGAGGAGGCTTGATGCCTACCTGGCTGGAAGCATTTGAGCCCAGTTTTTTTCTCCTGTCCAGGTGGGGGGTCAGACTTGAAGATTTACAAGGTCTCTTCCCACCTGACTTCTATGATTCTATGGTTACCATGGCCCAGCATGGAACCAGGCAATTAATTTGAGAGCAAGGAGCCTATCTTTCCTGAACTAGTAATAATTTATCTACTCTCACCCAGAAGACATAGAGAACAAAACCTTCTCTGATCTGACTGCAAAAAGGCAAGAGCTGGATTGGTAAGAGGGAATGGAGAAGATCTAGACAAGGAGTCTGAAGAGGCTGAGACTGGATGGGCAGGAAGTAGGTCTAGGACTGGTTGACAGGGTCACTAGTGGCTAGAATAAGTTGGGCAAGAAATCTAACCGAGAGCCAGGGGACCCAAAGTGATTGGAGGCACAATGTTAGTGGGGTTGAATTAACATTCCTCAGGAGATCTGCATTCTAGCTTTTCCTTCATTTTCCATACTTGACTTTGCTATCTATCTTTAAAGGAATATTTTAAACATACATATTAATAATAGTGCTTGAGAAAAGATTGCAAAACGTAAAAGGGAAGAAACCAGAAACGAAATGCCCAGTTATAAAGAGCATCAAAGGATGCAGTTCATTGGACACCCTGAGTAAGTGGTAAACTAAGTAAATAAGCACACAGGGTGGGGAGCATGAACCAGAACAAGAGGGTTCTTGGAGTCCCCCTTTTTCTGTCCTTCACTAGAACCTCCTGATACTACTGCCGTGCGGGCAGCCCAGTACCTTCGGCATTCTCATGATATTTGTCTAAGAAGGAAGGAAGAAAGTTCAGCAGCCCGAGATACTAGCTGATAATATAACAAGTGGAGAAGGGGAAGTATTGCTGACTTTTCTGTTGAGCCTAGAAGAGCAGATCTCTTTTACTAGGCTGAGGGCAGAAGAGAAGGAACCACAGTGCTGGAAGGAATGGAAAAGGTAGTGGGTGCGGTAGTGCTGGTGAACTCCTTCCTCCTCTGCAGTGGTGAGTAACTTGGGTAGATGAAGACAAATGCATATCAGTTTGAGTGTATGGCCATGTTCCTAGTGCAAGGGTTTAAACCTACGCTGTAGGAAAGGGTGCCTTTTGTATGTTATTGGCATGTACCTAGCTTGCTTACACCTCAAACAAAAAGGACGTAGAAAGAAGCAGCATTGCATCTCTAGAGGAAAACACAGTTGGTGTTACAGTTCATTCTGATCACCTCAGACAGAGCAAAGAGATGTTTTTGAAACTGTAACAAGTTGCACAGTATTGGGCAGCTGGTCAGAGATAATATAATCCATTGGAACAAAGCTAGATTGTCCAGCCTACTTGGGGAATTTGTGCTCTGGCATTTTGGCATCCAATTCCATGTTTATTCCAACGCTGGAATACATTCATTCGTTTGGATTTTAGCCATTTTTCAGAAATGTGTGGATGCACAGTTTAACTGCAGTGCTAGTTACAACCATCCAC